CTTCGTTATTTATAATTGAATTCACGTCATTAAAAAAGTTGAAATAATTTGATATTAGTATATCCGAACATGGAAGAGCAGTTGCATATCCTGGGTAATATTTTAATAATTTTGTAAAGAAATTTGCAATTGCATAAGTTGAATATTGATTTTCGTACTCAATAATACTAGAAAAAATTTCTTTCTTGAGTAAAACTGCGTTTTGGAAGAATTCAACGTCAAGAATATTGTTTTTAATCAAAGCAATAAATGTATCGATGATATAGAGAGAATTGTCACTGCTGCTTATGAAACGTAATATCTCATCATATTGATCGGAAAATGTTGATAAATAAAGGTATTGTATGTTATCTAAAGCTTTAAGGGTGCACACGAGAGGATCATGTAAACTTCAGAATTTAGAACCTTATTTTTAGGCATTATCTTGGCTACCTATTTAGGCTCGAAAAGCAAAAAATATCAAAAAATACAACTTGAGTCCATTATGACCCTTTCATTGAGGTAGTTTTTATCCGCTAGTATTTTCCCTTTGAATCTCTTTACAATTCGAAATCAAATTCAAACCTCAGTAGAAGAAAGGAAGAATCGACTTACTACGGTTGTAATACGAATAAATACATATATTTAATTATTTTTATTTACATAATAATTGTTTGAAGCTCATATTCCATCAAATTTTTAAATAAAAACATTAAAATGTTGAAAATGTTCATATATTTTAATAGGGTTTTGGCACTTTATTGAGGAATTACTACATACATAGTCGAACTGAACTTGATATTTTGAAATTTAAATTATTTATCAAAATTAAAATTTAACTTGAAATTTATAATTATTTAGTCATATTTTGCATAATTCTAAGTAGATTTTGTAAAAAATCAAGAAAGAAAAATTTTAACGTGCTTTATTTTTTCTTTTTTATAATAATACATATTATTATATAATTAACATATTCATAATGTTTCACCCTTTCAAAAATATAATCCTCCTCCTCTCAAATAAACGTACATACGGGTGGCCTCTTTTTTCAAAAAATTAAAATTTGAAATTTTGGGCTCAAATATTAGAGATTTTTTCAACCTTCAACGATATATGTTGTCTATATCAGACCTCCTTTCTTTTTGATACTTAACATTGTTCCTAAATCTTAGCCGTTAAGGCTGTTCTGCAAATATTTTTTTTTCGAAAAAATTCGAAAAAAATTCTTAAAATTCAAAAATCCCTTAATTCCTGAGGATTTTGGAAAAAAGTTTTTACATGAACATGTGTATATTATATGAAGTATATTGATAAGGTAAAAATCAAATTTTATTGCATATTCATCGAGAAAATAAACTAACGAATCCCTCAAAATTGAGAGGGTAATCCTCCTCCTCTCAAATAAACGTACATACGGGTGCACCCTTAAAATGAATGAATTTTAATGAAAAAATGAAAAAAATCTGGTTAATATAATGCGATAAATATTCGAATAAATTTTCCAGTAGTATCAAATCTATTTGAAAGATATTCGAAGAAGTGATATTTTGAATTGTGAATTTTAATATTGTTTCATTTTGTGTAGATTGCTCGATAATGAAATGTATCAAAAGATTCATTGAATATGAGTCAATGGAAAAGCTTAAATCCTTAGGGATATCCAAAATAAATCTTAATAAAAAAGATTCGTCTTGAAAATTAGCTTCCGAAAGTTCTATTTCAGTCGGAGCTGGAAGATTCCGATCATTTATGAATCTCGAAACGACAGAAAATTTGTATTGTTTATATTTCATTATTCGAAATGATAAACTTCAAAATCTAAAATTTATTTTTTTACAATATATTTCATCCTATTGTCAAGGCTAAATTTTTCACCGGAAGTGTATCAAAAATTGATAAGATTTACGGTGATCTAATTATGACAATTCAATGCATCTCGTGATATAACGCAGATATAAACACAACTGATATTGCATAACTAATAATTGAGTCAAATAACTAAATTATGTGTTATATTTTACACATATTTCTTCAATTTTGTAATAAATGGATGTTTAACACTAATTTTTTAAGGACTTCGACTTTAGCATCACATAAATATGTTATTTTCTATATTAAAACGTAATTTTGGTGGTCTTAGAATAGAAAAATATGCAATATTCGTGGAGATAATGAGGGTTCTTAAACATGTTCTTAAAAATAAATAAAATAATACAAATCTTTATTCAATCTTTTGATATTGTTGGTCCTCTCTTTGTGAAAATACTTAACTTCAAAGAGTATTATGTTTTACCTAGTGAGGACCTTAAGTTTGCAAAAACATAATAAAAGTAAAATAAAAAAGATCGGATTTATCACAAAACTTTGAGTATTATAGGATTTAATATATTTTCTTAGTAGATTATATGATTTAGTTTCTTAAAATCTAAAGTATTTCTTGAGGAAAATATAAATTGAAATTCAAAAAGTAAAAAAAATGTAAACAAATCAAATTTTAAATGGACCAAATGTTGATTTTTCATTCGTTTTCTCATTATCGAAAAAAATTTGGAAAGCTAAGAAGTCAATAACAAGTTATATAATACAACAAAAACCACATCGGATATGTTTTCATCAAATAGTCTCCTAGATTTGTTATGAAATTAAAATATCATGATATTTTAAGGGCTTTTGATTTCAATATTAGAATTATTCAGTTATGTCGTGCTAATATCAATTGCTTTATACAATTAATCGTTTACAAGCTGCAAAAATCGAACAATAATTTGACTTTGTAAAAAAAGTGCGTCATTTTTATTTGTTATACTTACAAAATGTAAACATTACGAGAAACATTTACATTTGTAAATGTAACAAGTAAAGTTGTATCGCATAATTTGACTTTGTAAAAAAGTGCGTCATTTTTATTCGTTATACTTACAAAATGTAAACATTACGAGAAACATTTACATTTGTAAATGTAACAAGTAAATACATCAGATTTAAATTGTAAATGTAGTTTATCTCTCTCATCTCCTTTTTAAAAGGTATTACATACATACGAACGCATGGGTCACTCAATAATTAGCGTGATAATAATTGAGGATAGACTGTAATCGTAATTTTTTTTTTGGACTTATATTTCGACATTTTGAAGTCGCTTGAAAGTCTTGCAAATGATTAAATTTGGAAAATTTGACCTAAGTCTGCATTATTTTGATGACTTAAACAATTCTATAAATCTGTTTTCCTAAAAATTTAAAAAGATATAATTTCAATTTCCCTAAATTTATGTAATTCATATATCACCAAAATATTTGGACTGCATTTCGTTTGTCTGCACCTAATTAAAGTCTAAATACCAATTAATTTTGGAGTTGCATTGCTTTTAATGTAAAAATGCACGTTTAGAAAAAGACGATAACAATTAAATTACAAAATCGATAACGACGACGATTAAATTACAAAATCGATAACCTCTCAAGAAAAAAAAATTGGCCTTTCATATTTGGCTATTTAACATACATATTCATATAATATAAGATTTATACACCATTTATAATGCAGTTCCTCATTGTAAAACAAACCTTTGAATTAAATTCTCAAAAAAATTATATAATGGATTCTGGAGATTTTCAATTAATATATTGCTTATTAATATCATGGTAATATAAATATTAATGAGTTACAAATTGAATACTTTGGATTTGGATATTTTTGGATTCCATATTAATATTTTGAGCTTGAATTATATCGATATTGAATATTTGATAGAGTAATGATATGAGTGATGTATTCATCTTTATTAAAGTAGCATTTTTTCAGAAATATTTTTTGCAAATTTTCTGTGATAATATCAATTAATGTAATACCTATTATCATTATGGCTAATGTTAAACAATAATTCAACATTTAGACAATTGTTTTTCAATATTGTGAATTTTATTTTTTGATTTTCTTGACCGAATGATTTTTCAATGATATTGTCATGGTTATGCTTGCCACTACTATTTGTAGAATCAGCCGATTAAATTCGAGATTGTAGAAGAGACTCTTTCGCTCTAATCCCATTTTATCAAATTCCGAAAAAATTGAATGGATGTGAAAAATTAAATCAATTTTTGGCCATAGACTTATCTCAAAAAATTCAAAGGATTTATCTCAAAAATATTTTCGTATCCTCTCCTTGAATCGATACAACTTATTATTCCCAATTCAATTTGCAGATTAATACTAATCGTTTTAAAAGACTCAGAATATTTACCGATGCCCTCTCAAAATATGGGTCATTTCAAAATATATTGGGTCAGTAATGAATAATCTGGTATTCCAATACGCTAAAAGGTTTCGAAGTTGAATGACAAGCCTTCCCTGTATTTAGTTTTCAATGGAAAATTTTCCTGTTTTCTGAGAGATTTAAATAAAACTCACAAATTTCCAAAATATTCCCAAATGCCAATATTCCTCTTCTTCAATGAACACTGACTAATCTCCACAATATGAATTTATGATTTCCATTTTCTGAAGTCCAAAATTGTATTTGTCTGATATTTGAAAGAAAATATCAACTGTGGAGCTGACCTATAATCACATGTTTCCGTTTTTAAGCAAATAATTTTCTCTTTAATCGGTTTATTTTCAATTTTTTACCCATCTGTTTTCAGAAAAAATTTTGATCTCGAGCTTAAAAATATGGACATTAGGTACAAATTTCTAAGATTTATCATCAGCTAGTAATTATGCTAAGATTCCAAGGACAATATTTATTCAGATAAAATTTTATTCTAGATATTCAAAATGATCATTAAGTCATCAGTTACTCTCATAGGAGGCACAAATAACGAGTTGCAGAGTGATTTTAAAAAGGAATAATTTTTTTTTCAAAAATTTATCAAACAAAATTAATAGCAGATCTCTAGATCAGCTCTTAAATTAAAAACATAAGATGTTTATTAGGTAAAGAAGAAAAAAATTAGGAAAGAAATGACTTACTTTGTCTTCTATTTTAATTTGGTACTATTACAAATAAAATCTATAATAAGTTAGCAACATCCGCCACCTTCTTGTCCTTCTGGCTTGACTGGTTTAGTTACAGGCTTATCAATTTGCGTATCATGTGCAATATCTGTTTCAGCGACTTTGTTAAATAAATTATTGATACCTTCTCCAGTCTTAGCAGACGTTTCGAAGTAGAAAGCAGCGCCTAGTTCTTGCGCCATTGCACGGCCAGCATCAGATGAAACAACTCTTTCGTCTGTTGCGTCAATTTTATTTCCGACAACGAATATTGTAATTCCGGCAGGTGCTTTTTCGCATATTTCTTGATTCCAATTACGTAAATTTTCGAGAGAGCTTTTACTTGTAACATCATAAACTAATAAAGCAGCGGCAGCTGATCTGTAATACATCGGAGCGAGCGATCTATATTTTTCTTGACCAGCAGTATCCCATAACTGAAGTCTAATTGGTCCTGCTTCTGTTGTAACAATTTTTGTTAAAAATGCAGCTCCTACAGTCGCTGGCATATTTTTATCATATGTTTCCTGCACGAATTGGCTTAGTATACAAGATTTTCCGACTTTAGTGTCTCCAACAAGAACAGCCTTGAGGGAGCGCATCAATATTGAAGGCCAAAAGCGATAGCATAAAAATAAAATAAATTGAGATTTACAATCTATATAGTAAAATAATAAGATATAAAACACAATCATTGTTTTTGTGTTCAAATAGCGGTTATCGTTTTTCATTTTTCAAATATCATAAGAATCGTTATGATAATAATAATATAGAAAAATTTATGAAAAATATTTTTATTCAATATTTGGCAGCGGCTTGCCATTCAACTCTTTTTTTTAATCAAAAACAAACAACAAAACCACAGAAATTTCAAAATTCTTGAAAGAATAAACATTTTGTTATAGACCGAAAATAGATTTTTTCGGTTTTCTCTTCAAATAATTGAAAGAATGATACTATTATAGGTTTATTATATTATATAGCATATAATCATGCTATAGCCGAAAATTATAAGTTTTGAGAAGATTGAATATAACACAAATAAATTTGAATGTAAGTTAAATTGCTTGTTGTTTTTAATAGCTATTTAATGAGAAATCCAATATTGCAAAATTCAAATTGAATGATTGAAAGAACAGAAAAAGTCATTCTTTTCAATTTCGAATATGTTTCATTGTATTTATAATTAGATGGCAAATAAGATATTTAAACTTGATTTTTGAAGGAAAATTCACAAAATTGAATAAATTCAAATAATTTTTATTCAAAAATAAACTAGTTATTTGAGTTTAATACTGATTATCTATTCAAACTACAAAGTTTGTAATTTAAAATATTTTGTGAGATCAGATTGAATTAATTCAAGGTTTTTTTCAATTAATATTAATGACCATATTACGCATTTTCGAACATTCTAAACCAAATATATAAAAATGGGAGACGAATGTTAAATTTGCTAGACATGGGGGAGTTGTCTGCAAAGTTTTAGCTCTTATCTCTAACAAAAAATTAATTTTTAAAAAAAAGACCGAATACGTTTCACAGCGAGAAAAAAATAAAAGGCAAGATAGAATTTTCTAGACATAAAGAAGTTGTTTACCGAGTTTTAGCTCTTATCTCTAACAAAAAAATTAATTTTTAAAAAAAAGACCGAATACGTTTCACAGCGAGAAAAAAATAAAAGGCAAGATAGAATTTTCTATACATAAAGAAGTTGTTTACCGAGTTTTAGCTCTTATCTCTAACAAAAAATTAATTTTTAAAAAAAAGACCGAATACGTTTCACAGCGAGAAAAAAATAAAAGGCAAGATAGAATTTTCTAGACATAAAGAAGTTGTCTACCAAGTGTCAGCTGTTACTTCTTCTCAATACTGATATAAAATAAAAATCTTTATTATTTATTTAACCTTTATTGTTTCATTAAACTTCATTTATTTTATATTATAGTTTTATTCTTTTAGCTACTTGTAAAATAATCTAATTTTATATCATCATTTTACCGGATTATTCTTCAGTACATCGATTGTGTATCTAAAATAATATCATTATCCTTATTCTGTTTTTTCCAAAATTCTTTTAAATATCTTTTTTGGTTAGATTACTTTATACTTTTTACTTTTATTTTTTAATTTCAAAAAAAATTTGGTGATTGTTCTATTCTGTTACAATGTGCATTATCATATTCTAGTGAATTATTCATTACATACATTTAAAAAAACTTGTTAAAAATGAAATTAAAAAATTATGTTTATTATTACGCTGTGAATGTGTCAACAGCGGTCATGCCTGTATCTGTATCCCATATTTGCCACAACCTTTCTGTATCTGCATTTGTGTATTTCGGTTTCAGCTGATACATTTGATTTGGCGTGTAATTTGTTCCAGTTAATGGATTAATTGGGAGATCTTCATGCGGTGTGTTATTATTGTACTCCCAAATAAAGGCAGGAATAGCCTGAATGCTTTGGCAGCGCTCCAATGTCGGCCAGAATCTCTCAATCTTCCCATTTTGGTAGGGAGAATGAGAGTCTGTATGCCGCCATTGGCCGCCCCAAAGATCAAGTAGATCTTGAAAGGCGCCCCTATTTTCTGAACCGTTGTCGGTCCAGAAACAATAAGGGGCGCCAAATTCAATGAAGGCGGAAGCCGCAACGTTCGCTGTCGTCGCTGCCAGCATATCTGGTATTTGTATACACGCTAGGACTTTGCGGCTAAAATCGTCGATTATGCCATAAATATACTGGCCACGAACACCCCTAAAATAATGAACATCTGCGTGCCAGATAAGATTGGGTGAAAGCGCCCAATATCTTACTGCTGTTTCTGGCCCGGCATGCTCTAATCGCGTCTTGGTGAAATGATTTTCTTTGAAGTATCTGCGTACTTCTCTATAAGATACATCAGTTAGTATGAATATCATGGGTACGGAGGCACTGCGCGCCTCCTTACCCATTATATGTGAATTTGATACTTTACAAAACCGTTAACGTATATTTTACAACACAAACGATAACACTAACTTAACCTTAAATATTTACAAAGCCGCCAACCACTTCACCTCACTAATGTAAAAAATAAACGTTCTCACTTACAAAAGTATTGCAACTCCTCCCATTGCTGTGCTTCACATAACAGCTCATAATCTTCTGACTCACTTTCTTCTTCATATAGGTCAAAATCACTGTCAAAATAAATGTATGTAAGTTTTGACAAAGCTAATGAAACACGCTTACCGTTTGTATCATATGCTTGTATAAACTTTCCATTATGCTTGTAATCATAAACGCTCAAACTAACTTTACCTTTTCTCCCTCGTATCTGATAGAATGTATTTTCACGAGGAACGAAGAACAAATTCTTGAACTCATGACCGTTGTAGTTTGTTATCTCAATAGTTTTCGTCGTATTACATCCAAATAAAAATTTTCAGTAAAAATAAAACTAATGAAATATTTTATTCCTCACTGTCGTCTGCTTTCTCCAACTCTTCTAGCTTCTTCTTAAGTTCAGCAATGTTGTCCTCATGAAGTTTAATCTTTCTCAAAATTCCTTCTCTATCTAATGGTTGCTTTATCTTTCTAAACTGAACTCTACCATCCTTCATAGTATGAATGTAAAAACCTTCTGGAACCGCTCCTGATTTAATGTATTCTACCAAAAACTTTTGTTTCATTGCTTCAGTGACTTTATTTGTCATTTTACTCTAAGGTGAAGCTAGCACAGCGATAATGGATTTTATGACTTTTTAGTATTTCATGCAATCTTAACAGATAGCCTTACAAGTACTTCCAGTGTCCCTAGCTGTCCCTCCTTTTTATATAACTCCATAACATTTATAATCTCGCGAAACTTAACAGGTAGCATAACAGATTAAAATCAGATGAGGTTTTGAACCAAAATTTCTAAGCAACGTTGTCAAGGATTTTGAGGAACTAGGGACAGAGTGTGGCAAAGTCCAAGATTTAATTTATCTTCATCTGTTTCATCAGCTATCTCATCTAATATGCCAATATTTTATTCATAACTCGTGGCAAACTCACTAACTTTCATTATGTTCATCTGCATGCTTCATCTGATAGAAAGTATGACTTTCATTAACTCTGTGAGATAATGAAAACTACTAGGGACAGAGACCATGGCAAAGTTTATGACTTTCATTATTTCCAGAACTTAATGAAAACTACTAGGGACAGAGACCATGGCAAAGTTCATGATTTAATTTATTCTCTCACTAACAACAAACACAAACTCCAACACTAACATCAAGTACTAACTTCAGCACAAATGACAAACACTAACAACAAACACAAACTCCAACACTAACATCAAGTACTAACTTCAGCACAAATGACAAACACTAACAACAAACACAAACTCCAACACTAACGACAAAAATAAATGTCCTCACTTCTTAACAAAGTAATATGTGCTTCTTAACCACCATAGCTCAAACGTTTCTTTTCAAACATCGATTGAAACTTATTTTGAGCCATTGGCTTTAGTCTCTTTTTCTTCAAATACGCCAAGAAATCTTCTTCACATCTTTTCACTTCATAGCCTTCTTTAAACTCCTCCTTGTTAAGTTCTATGAAATCCTTTATATCATTCTTTGTTGCAATGGCTTCTTCACGAACGACATCGTGAACTATTTCATCATTGCATTCATGTATGACCTCCTCACTGTTCTCATGAACTATTTCAACACTGTTCTCATGAACGACCTCCTTACTGTCTTTCATAAGCGTTTCAAAGTCTCCTTTACTCATTACTTCAATCTCATGCTGTTCACAGTAGTACTTAAACTCACTGTATATGTCTTTGTTGTATGTTATATTGCTTCCCATGTACTCCATGAATTTTTCAAGCACTTCCTCATAATTCACTGTTTCTTTCTTTCCACGACCTTCTAATATCATACTTGCTTCGTAAATATAACTTCTTGCAGAACCGTCTCGCTTTCTACTTCTCTTCACAAATTCTCTCATCTTGCCACCAAATACATTTGAACTACATGCAAAGAATTCATTCTCCTTCACAAATTCTTTATATCTTCTGTAGCACTCTGTACAATTCCATCCGGATACAAACTTTTCATAGAACTCCTCATAAAACATTTGGTAAGGTGTTTTGTTCATTTCGATGAGTTCTTGTTTAGCCCCGGTGAATGGTATCTTCCTTACATCAAATTCACTTAAATCTTTCTTCATGAAGTACGTCAGTAAGTTTGAATAAAACTCTTCATTAAAGCTTTCAATGAGATTTGAGAAATATTCGTAATTTCCTTTGTATCTGCTGCTTACGTCAATGACAACAAATCTTCTGTCGTCTTTGTCAATCTTTACTGAGTTGAAGTTGTTAGATATCATGATGATATTACAAACATTCTCTATCTTTCTTACTGGCTGACACTTCTGATTTAAGTCCAACTGAGTCTCTGTTACTATTGACTTTAGTGCGTCGTGGTTCATGACCTTAGACGTATCGCATGAGCTTAGTTCATTGCATACGATGAGCTTCATGTTCTCAATAGCAGCATTGAATCTACCAACCACATTCTCTATTGCCGTTATATTATTGTTGGCGTACTTGCTAATGAGCTCG